CTCTTGTAAAGCAGGCCTGGTGGTGATGAAATCTCTGAGTGCTTGCTTGTTCACAAAAGATTTTATTTTTCCTTCGCTTATGAAGCTTAGTTTGGCTGGATGTAAAAGTCTGGGTTGAAAGTTCTTTTCTTTAAGGATGTTGAATATTAGCCCCCACTCTCTTCTGGCTTGTAGGGTTTCTGCTGAGAGATCTGCTGTGAGTCTGATAGGCTTCCCTTTATGGTTAACCTGACCTTTCTCTCTGGTTGCCATCAGTATTTTCTCCTTCGTTTCAACACTGGTGAATCTGGCGATTATGTGTCTTGAGGTTGGTCTTCTTGAGGAACATCTTTGTGGTGTTCTCTGTATTACCTGGAGTTGAATATTGTCCTGCCTTGCCAGCTTGGGAAAGTTTTCCTGAATAATATCCTGAAGCGTATTTTCCAGCTTGGATTGATTCTCTTTGTCAGATTTGGGTACACCTATCAAACGTAGATTAGGTCTTTTCACATACAGGTATTGATCGACTTACCACCTATGCAACTTAAGACCATTCAACTTTACGACCACAATCGCTAGCCACGACTGCTCCACATCTGGTAGCACAGAACGTTGCCCAGCTGGGCATACGACAGTGCGGACCAGCTTCCGGCAGCACTACCGTCTCCGCGTGCACCATTTCAACTGTACATATAGCCTACTCAACTTACGATCAAATCGTGTTAGGACCGGTCCATGGTCCTGACCGTGGTCGTAAGTCAAGCACTAGCTGTAGTCCTATATTTCTTGGAGACTTTGCTTGTTTCTTTTTATCCTTTTTTCTCTAATCTTGTCTTCTTGTTTTATTTCATTAAGTTGGTCTTCGACCTCTGATATCTTTTCTTCTGTTTGATCAATTTGGCTGTTAAAACTTGTGCATACTTCGCGAAGTTCTCACGTTGTGTTTTTCAGCTCCGTTAATTCACTTATATTCCTCTCTAAATTGTGTATTCTTGTTAACGTTTCGTCAAACCTTTTTTCAAAGTTCTTAGTTTCTTTGCATTGGGTTAGAAGAAGATCTTTTAATTCACTGAAGATTCTTCTCATCCACCTTTTGAAGCCTGTTTCTGTTAATGGATCACACTCGTTCTCCATCAGGCCTTGTTCCGTTGCTGTTGAGGAACTGTGACCCCCTGTAGAGGGAGAGGCATTTTGATTTGGGGTATCCTCAGCCTTTTTAGGCTGGTTTCTTCCCTTCATTATAGATTTATCCATCTGTGGTCTTTATAATTACCGTCTTTATAATTGGGTTTCTGAGTGGACGTCCAACTTGTTGATTCCCAGCGCTAAAATCTGAGCAACCTACTGTGCTGGCCAAAACAGCGGCGTTAAGATTGATTGTGCTTTTCTGACTCTACACCAAGAACCGCTGCACCAAGGCAGCGGCAAAACCACCTCACCGGCCACAAGTGTCGCGCTGGCGACCCATGGGCCTCCTCTGCTGGGAATCTCCTGGTGCGTGAGCAACAAAAATTCGTCTGAAAGTGTGGCATCCTCTC